ATTCACTTTTATTCAATCAGCCATAAATGCACAGGAAGAAAACATCATTTTTCAAAGCAATGTCACCAGTTAAAAGCTAAAAGCGGCTATATCACACGCCTGCAGAACAGCAAGGCAGTGATCCATATCTCTTTCTAAGTAGACCAACTGTAGAGCAAATTGCCTTGGGTTGTCAAATACAGATATACATGAACAACAGAGTTGGATGTTGGCATATAATACATAACTTCAGTTGAAAATATATAGTACTGTAAATATGAAACCATATACATTTCAGAAGAAATCATATTTTCATATTCAAGTCATGCCAATACATACAAGAGGGACTTAGAGAATGAATTGGTTCCATTAAAGTAAGATGGTTAAACATATTCACCTCTGTTGGTAAGATGGTTAATGCAAATTGGTAGGAAAAAAAGATTTCACTGCATTTGGCTCATAAATACAAAAGAAAGCAAGCTGATTATGCTAGATCTTCAACTCCTAAAATCTGAAAGAAGACAAACTGTGATCTGATTAACACATCATGCTAAGCCATAGTTTTGTTATATATGATTTTTTGAATAAAGCACATTTAGCCAAATTCACATTATACACTAAGCCATGAAAAATGGCTTACCAACTACTGTATAGTGGCTGGGTTTCTGTAATGTACCATGCCAAAACTGGCAAGCAAAATCAACGGGGAACCATGTGATTTGTTTAACAACCACGTGATTAGCTTAACGACTACCTCAAAAAATGTCGTAAAATCAGGTGTGGTCACATGATGCCTCGCTTAATGACTGCCCTGCTTAACTATGAATTTTCTGCTCCCTATTGAGGTTGTTAAACAAGGACTACCTGTAATTGCAAATATGACCATTTATATTACATTAAACTCCATATTTTAATGTAAATATAAGATACATATTTCAATTTCTTGGGAAAAAAACTGATATAAAGTTTTATTCAATTCTTAAACCCACTGGTTTGGCCTAATGGATGAGGGAAAAAAGATAACATTTCTCTCAACCTGAGCAGAGCATCTGGTGACTAAATGGTTGTGTCTATGAAGTTTTTATGGCAACAATACAGGTGTACTCTACTCTAGACTATAGATTTGGAATTTCCTACTGGTCTCCTATCCAGATAATAAGATCTGACGTTGCTTAGCTTTCTCAATATCAGTTAAGGGTAGTTAAATGTGGCTATCAGGTCACCATAGGTAATAAGAAACTGACTTCTGTGTTTGATACAAATAGCCTGGGAGATAAAAGACAGATCTCTGTCCTCTGATCCAAATGTGAACAGAAAAACTGAGGGCTTATCTTCCTGCCTTGCTAACCATGATGTGAAAATGCCTCCCTGTTTTAGTAAGCAATGTCCTTATGATGTTGAGCACTGTAGAGCCTGATCTGTCATGGAGGGGTGGACAGCTTCACCAAGAGAATGCCCTCTCCTTCCCTACTTTTCTTACCCCTTCTTCTCAGAGGGGAAACAAGAGAAGGGGGGTGGCTTTGCTGCCAATTCCGAATGAGGTAGGATAACCAGCAGCTAGAGAAACATCTCTCATTTTGGAAGATGGTTGGATATATGTTAAAAAGGCTGGGGAGAAAAGCCAGGGGAAGCAGTTCTTCATCCATCAGTTCTCTGACCCCTGCTTCCCAAGTTTCTCTTGTCCCCCACTTCAGGTCCCAGCAGCAGCAGAAAGAGATAAGTGGATCTTTAGCCACCAGTTCTTGGATCTCATGGAGTGATCTATAGGATTGGAGAACTAGTGGTTAAATAGTCACCCCTCCCTGCACACTACTAGGGCTCTGGGTCTGGAAAGCAAAAAGGGGCATGGGGATGGGTGCAACCTGGTAAAGCATTAGAGTGTCATAAGCATTTTCAGCAGAACTACCTTCTTCCCCCACAGGTGGATTCTGCCTGGTAAAGTAAAACAAGAGCACATGGGGATATTTCTGACCACATTATCTGCTTTATCTGACCAAACCACATCCCCTCACCTCTGGGATCAGCAAATTCAGGACCAAGTTTTTATAGCTAGTCTAGCCATCTGTTGAAACTTGTCTCTTCCCTTAGGGAGAGCAGCTGGTGGTTGGGGAATCCATCAGTGTTGTTCCTTAAGTTGTCTCATATTCAGTCTCTGGGAACAGCAGCAATCACTGGCCACACAGCTGAAACAGAATAGGAATAGGACTGAGCAATGAGGCAGCACACAGTATGCTGGCAACCTTTTGTTCCACCCCATGAAATAGCAGAAAGCACATTTAATACAGCCATGAGGAAGGCCCCTGAAAGAATCTAAAGCAAACTCAAGCACATTTTACAAAAATAAGAGGAAGATTTTTAACTGAATAGGTAGAGGAGAGTCTTGCCAGTAGTTCCATGTAATGAATTTAATCTGAAGAACTTTATTTAAAAACTGCTGATTCAGATAAAATTACATATCTAAAATGTAGCCCCTACTAGAACATACATCCTTATTTTTTTAAGAAAATAAAGAACTATCTACCCAAGTTAATTTAAAGCTATTAGTCAATAAAAGAGCTGGCCCAAATGGAGCTGTCTGCCAGCAAGGCTGAAATAAATTTTATTCCTTGAAGAGTAGAAAATGTAATGAGAAAATACCTTAATCACACCAGCATTCCTTTTATAAGGACAAAGGCTACTAATTTAGTGCAGATTTCATGTCATGTGTGCCAAATGGGCTGAGAACAGAGTAGAGCCTGAAATAAGGAGGGGGGTGGGTGGGTGGCTTTAACTGTCTGCAAAAGCCACCTGGTTGTAACTTGCATCAATCTGTTTAAATCGCAGTAGAAATTTACTATATCCATTATCTGTCCTCTCCAATAAGTTATTGTTTCAATATTTAACATGGTCTTTTATAGAGGGACAATAAAAACAGAAATTAAAAATTGAAACTAGTTTTAAAACTTTTTGTGTTGAAGCGATCATTCAAATCTGCTTCTTACTTGTACATTTCAAAAGAATACTTCATTATGACTTCATTATAATTAATATGGAGTGGGCAGCTATCATACATCTAAATAATAATAGTAAGTCATTTCCTACTCCAGGACTGCAGATTGGCCTTTGGGCTGCAGGGGCGGGACACTCCTTCACTCAGATCTACTGTGCAATTTGAGGGGCACAGTTCCTGCTCAAAGAGCAGGTGGCAGCTGTGGCCAGGAGGGCCTTTGTACAACTTTATCTTTTGTACCAATTGCATCTGTTCCTGGATTGGGAGGCTGTGTTTGCCATCAGTCACACCTTAATCACTTTCCAGTTGGATTACTGCAACACACTGTACATGAGGCTGCCTTTGAAGATCATCCAGAAGCTGTAACTGATCTAGAATGCAGCAGCATGGCTAGTTAAGGGCACACCTTGTACATCCATGTAACACCACTACTCCACAAGCTGCATTGGCTCCCAATAGGCTTCCAGGTGCAATTCAAGGTGCTGGTTATCACTTGTAAAGCTATACATGACACTGGCTGGGTTATTTGTAGGACTCTCTCTGCCCATCCCACATACACTAGTAGGATGGCTATGCTGTGTGTCTCTTCTTTGAAGCAATGTCATTTGGCAGGACCCAGGAGGTGTGTCTTTTTCGTTACAGTGCCTGACCTCTAGAATGCCCTCCCCCCCAATATACACTTGACCCTGACGCTGTTGGCCTTCAGAAAAGCACTAAAACATGTCTCTTTTCTCAGGCATTGAGGCCAAATTGATTGGTGTTCCCACCTGGAGGGATATAACGTAAATGTGGTTTCCTGGTTGCTTACTGATTTCTGTTGCTGTTTTTAACCATATGGGTTTGTGGCTATTTATTTCATTGTTATTGATTGTAAACCATCCAGAGCTGCAATTATTCAAGTTGAGCCCCATATAAATTCCAAATAAATAAATGTGCACCAGGAAGGTAGTGAATAGGTTTGTACCTTATATTTTGATTAACTTCACCTTGTATGAAAAGGGATACACACCACTATATCGCATTGCCGTATTTTCTTCACTATTGATAAAAAGTCTCTTCCCTATGCCATTGTATGACTTGCTTGAATTCTATTCAAATACATGCTACCTAGATGTACAGTACATAAATCTGTTAATTTATATGATACTCTTTTAGACAGGAAAGATAAAGCTCAAATGATGAAGTTACTTTGCAACTAGGGCCAAAAGAATAAGTTTCCTGGAGGGATCCACTTTAAAACTTTTGAGAAATTTTGTCCTGGCTCTAGGAATAACTTCACATGGTAAAGGATAGTGGGTACGTCTCTGAAATATATTCCCATTTGCTAAACCATTCAGTCACCAAATACATTTAATGAATGGCAAAACATCTTTGACAGTCCTTCATATGGTTTAGTTTTTTAAATTTCCCCTGAAAGTGTAACACATGCCTATTCAGAATCAAATCCTTTATGTTCAATAGAACTGAATTCCTAGTACCTGCCCTCAATTGATTCCAGTAAATCCCATATAATTCTATAGCATGTATTTCTGACACCCTAAGATTATACTGCAAGATTAGGCCTTGGTCCCCTAATATTTTTGCTTTCAGAGTGCATGTTGAAAACAATACATTTTAATAGCCCGTTCAATAATGTTTAATAGGCTATTTTACACTTTATAGAAGTTATTTTTTTATTAATTGCCTGTAGTTGTCTTAAGTTACGCAGAACCGAAGTGACTAGATAGCAATAAAAACTGTAGATCAGAATGGAAGATCAGAACACATTGCTAGTTTCCGAAATGAGACACACTTTCTTCTTTATTTCCCTCCCTTCGTCCTCTTACGAATACGATAGATCATTTTCTTCTTCCTTTTTCCAAACCGCTATTGCGCTAACGGGGTACACTAAACCGCTCCCTCGATTCCTAAACAGGAACGGATGAAAGACACCGGAAGTGTGGCGACTTCCGGTATTGTAAAGCAAGTCGGAAGAGTGGCAAAACTGAACTCGGAAGTAGCCTAATCATGGAAAGACCATAGAGCTGAAACAGGAAGTGCAGTATAATGCACGTGGATGGAAAGGGGGAAAAATGTCAGCTTCCTTGCTAAGGAAGGGACTGGAACTACTAGAGACGACGGGAGGTAACCGAGGGCTGTGGGGTGGCCAAAAGAAAAGGGGAGAATTCTTTAGGCTAAATAATCTCTCTTGTTTTTCTCTCTGGTGACTAGTGTCCGACTCGTGCTCCCAAAGATCAGTGACCGCCGCCCCACCCAATCAACTCCTGCTGAAAAAGAAGAAAAAGAAGAGTTCCGGGTCCAAAAGAGACAAGGCCACAATCAAAGGAAGAATCACCAAATCTGCATTAGGTGAGTAGTGGGGAGACGGAGAATGATGAGCAGGTGGACGACTGTCATCGAATTTACTCTTTATAATTTACTCTTTATACTTCGGTTGCACTTGACTGGTGCAAATGTTTTAGCTATATCCATATTTTGCAATTAAATGATAAATGCATTAAATTGCCAGGAAATTGCATGAAAATCTCAGATGTATCTTTAGGCAAAACAGAAATATCCTTTACTCAACTGATGCTAATCTAAAATCTTTGTATATATCTTATGCACGTAGGGAGCAACATTTTTCTTTATTTTTCATATAAGTGCAACCATATTTTTTACTTACTTTATGTACCTCCTTTCTTATCCCAAAGAACATTCAAGGTAACTTATAATTTCAAACACTATACGTGCTAAAAATACACAGTACATCATCCCCCAAGTGATTAAAAAATAGATAATAAAATCATTTATTATAGTGTTGAAAAAAATGCATCCTAAGGTTTGCATATGTGCCTCCCACTTGTTAAGGGACCAAAAGTAATGGGACAATTGGCTTCTCAG